ACCATATTAAGGAGAAATCATATTTTAGAATTCTGTATTTTTGTCAAAAAATCATATTTATATGCTATTATACTACTTATTAACACTGAGGATTCAAACTTCTCCCATATGAGGCCAGAACTTAGTTTTTAACCCTGACTCAATGAAGACTCTTTCTTAAGGAGGTCAGTGGCAGACATACATGGTTTAGTTGAAGGCTTTGGCCAACTCCATTCCCAGAGACTAGGTTCCCAGTGAATATGCCTGACCACAACTTCCAGCTTCTTGAAAATGAAGAAATTTATAGCAAGCACTATGAAGGAACTTATGGGAGAAAGGATAACTTTTAGCCATGATTAAGGCATGTCTCTGAAATGACACAAGAATGGGTAGATTTGGAAAGACTAAAAGAGTGAGAGGATTGGTATTAGGAGTTATTGGCAGATTTGATGACAGCCTGTCTCACTGCCTTAGAAATATGGCAAGGCATTAAGAGTTTAATAAATGGTGTTGGGAAAACTGGCTAGCCATGTACAGAAAACAGAAACTGGACCCCTTTCTGACACATTACCCTAAAATAACATCCAGATGAATTAAAGACTTAAACGTAAGGCCTAACACCATGAAAATCCTAGAAGAAAACCTAGACAAAACCATTCAGGACATAGGCATAGGCAAGTGCTTCCTGACTAAAACACCAAAAGCTTTGGTAACAAAAGCCAAAATAGACAAATGGGACCTAATTAAACTCCAGAGCTTCTGCACAGCAAAAGAAACAATCATTAGAGTGAACTGGCAACCAACAGCATGGGAAAAAATTTTTGCAAGCTACCCATCTGACAAAGGGCTAATATCCAGAATCTACAAAGAACTGAAACAAATTTACAAGAAAAAAACAAACAAACCCATTCAAAAGTGGGCAAAGGCTATGAACAGACACTTTTCAAAAGAAGACATATGTGAGGCCAACAAACATATGAAAAAATGCTCATCATCACTGGTCATTAGAGAAATGCAAATCAAAACCACACTGAGATACCATGTCATGCCAGTTAGAATGGCAATCATTAAAAAATCTGGTGACAACAGATGCTGGAGAGGATATGGAGAAATAGGAACACTTTTGCACTGTTGGTGGGGGTGTAAATTAGTTCAACCATTGTGGAAGACAGTGTGGTGATTCCTCAAGGACCTAGATATAGAAATTCCATTTGGCCCAGCAATCCCATTACTGGGTATATACCCAAAGGATTATAAATTGATCTAGTATAAAGACATATGCACACGTATGTTCCTTGTGGCACTGTTTACAATAGCAAAGACCTGGAACCAACCCAAATGCCCATTGATGACAGACTAGACAAGGAAAATGTGGCACATATACACCATGGAATACTATGCTGCCATAAAAAATGATGAGTTTGTATCTCACAGGTGGGTGTTGAACAGTGAGAACACATGGACACAGGAAGAGGGGCATCACACACTGGGGTCTATTGGAGGGGAATAGGGGAGAGACAGTGGCGGGTAGGGAGGTTGGGGAGGGATAACATGGGGAGAAATGCCAGATACAGGTGATGGGGGGATGGAGGCAGCAAACCACACATTGCCATGTATGTACCTATGCAACAATCCTACTTGTTCTGCACATGTACTCCAGAACCTGAAGTGCAATTTTATATATATATATATATAAAATACACACACACACACACACACACACACACACACACACACACACACAAATAAATAAATAAATAAAAAAAAAAATTTAAAAAAAAAACAACAGTACCCTTATACAAAGTCTCAGATGGAACAAAAGCCTACCACGAGTTTTGCCTAGGCCTTTCCTGGGCCTTAAAGCATGGCAAAATAACAAAGGAATTCTTAACATGACACACTTAGGATTAAACAAGTTTATTTAGGGTCTCAAGGAAATCCCCAACCCTTCCATGATTTAGCAGGAGACAAGGTAAGCGTAATCAACCTAGAACCTGGACCTACTTAGATTCTGTAAATTTACTGAAGCTCCAGAGGAAGGTCTTCAGGACTCAGACCCTAATTATAGATTAAAAGAAGTTAACCACTAATGTCTTTAGATGAATGCACATTTACAGGTAGACATATTGGTTAGAAGGTATATAAGCTCTGGAAAACTGTAATTTTGAGTTGCTCTGGTGATCATTTCCAGGCCTTCTCCCTGTAACTGGATGGAGGAATAAAAACTCTCTTCCTCCCCATGTCTTCCTCTGCAGCTCCTTATTGGGCCACAAGAAATAGCAGCCCGACCCTCAGTTTGGTCCAGGAACAATACTACTGTATACAAAATATTTAAACTACAGTATATATACCTTCATATTTTTCCTGTGTATTCTTGATATACGTATGTACTTTTATAAAATAGAATCATACTACATATATATTTTACATGGTTTTACTTTTTGTATTATATACATCTCTATATATAAATTTACATCAAATTTTAAAGCTCAAACAAAATGGCATATTAAGAAGTTGTGACATTGTGAAATATGTATTTGTTCTTTCTCCCTTCTTATTGACATATAGCTACTAAAATCCTTATAATCTCAAAAAAAAAAGATTCATACACTGAATTCATAAGCCCTAATCAGCAAGGTAGAGGGAAATACGATGTTGCATAAAGTGAAAAACACCAAAGCGTAGCTTGCCTTTTTGTGGAAAAGACTTGGAGAATTCGCCCTCTTTCTCATTTTACTGAGAACACAGACCCTGGAGGAGGAGATTACATGTTGATATTAATACATTCCTCCTCGTAGAAAATTCCAGATTCCTCAGTTCCTCATTTTCATCAAACAAAGCTTGACTAGCAACTAGGCTGATTACAGCCTGTCTTCTGTGGTGCCAAGAGAAATCTTATTCACCAAGAAAAAAGGAAAACAATGAAGTGCGTTGGAAGAAGAAGAGGACCTAGAGCACACCACACAAACATGGTCCCTTCTTGTGAGGAATGTGGACTTAAGAAAAAGATGCAACAAGACAGAGAATGTTAGTTGTCAGAATTCAAGCTGAGGCTCCACCAGAAGGAGGTGAGGCCGTGGGAGGACTCCAGGTCCCAGGGTCCTGATATAGAAAGGGGATGGAGCAGAAGGAGCAGACCATATTTTGGTGCAATTCAGTCAGATTCTCCACAGAAATACGTAGTAGTTTAAAAATTAAGTGAAGAGGGCTAATGAAGGGATTGTTCCAAAAGCATGGAAGAAGTCAAGGGATAAACAAGGAAGAACAAAGCACCAGGGAACTGTGGAAAATCCTTTATTTCCCCAGGGCTTGGAGGGGCAAAGGTTAGGTGTCTTAGTTTGAGCTCTTCTAGAAACAGGCACTGAGACAAGAAGTCCAGGGTGAAAAGTTTATATGGCAGGTGAAGAAAATGCCAATAGAGACGCGGGAAAGTGAGACAGGGAAAGAACATCTACCAGTACCATGTATCTAGCCAGTGATCACAGTAGGCAATGGAACTTACCACCACAGCATACTGTGAGAGATGGTGCAAAGCACAGGCCATAGGATCATCCACCCTAGCCCAGAAATCCACTGTGACCCTGAGCAGGCCCGGGCATGGTATGGAAGGCATCCTCAAGGAGAAATGATCCAGCCTGGAGTGTTAGAGCCCCAACAGGGTGAAAAGGGCATCCATGGTGTGGGAGAGCCCAGCATGGGTAGACGCAGACCTACCTGGGCAAAATGGACACAGGAACAGGTGGCCTGGAATGAGAAGTCCGAGCAGAGGCAGAGAGAGGAGGGAACCACATGGGGAGGGAGTGAGGAAGAACGTGGGAAGTGGGTTTCATGGTAGGGGATTGATCAAATAATACATGTAGTAAGGATCTAAAAGCTAGGTTCCTCAATGTCAGAAGAAGGATAAATAAAAGAAAGGGATAAGTATAGAATGAATCACCATGTAGTGCTGTATTGGAATTAATTCCTTGGGTGTGAACTCATGGATTTCTAGGTAAGATAGATTGATAAGTAGGTAGATAGATAGACTAATGTGGATGTGGATGCATACATATATAAACATTTACATCTACTTATAACATTATATATAAATATATATTTGTAGTCACACATACACATATGCACACACATTTACATCTACATTTATATTTATATACATATTTATCTATCTGGATACATCTATATCCCTAGCTCTGTCCACTGATGGGACATAGGAGCAGTGAGATCCCAGTAGCAATGAGAAGAACTAATGCCTGGATCTTGGCTTCTAAAACCATCTCTCAAAGAAACCAGGGTTCTTGGAGAAGCAGCTGATTCCAGCACTGGGACAGTGAAAGCTCAGGCTGAGGCCGGACTAGCTCGTTCTGCCAGAAAGCAAAAGACTGCTGAAAGAACACTGGGGACATGGCGAAAGGGCACAAGACCCAGTTGGAATGGGCTCCCGCTGGCCAAGGATGGGGCAGTTTCAGTATCAAAACAGAATAATGATAGTAACAAATTTTGATCTATTGAATAAAATAGGACGCCATGATGCCATACAGATATAAATGAACAAATAAAGAAATTGAAATTTTCACAAGGAACAGAAGATTTACAAAGTTTCAAAGTACTTTCCCATAAAATATTTATTAAAATATAAAGGAAGCAAGAGTTACTTTGCAGTGGAGAAACTTGACACACACCACCTTAGTCAAGTGATTGAAATGAACATTATCAGCAATGAACAAATCAAAACTGTGAGCTGCCTGATGGAATGAAATTAGAGTGCATTATAATTTCTGTGTGATTTCTGCCAAAGATGAAGAACCTAATTTTAATCAAGAAGAAACATCAGACTGACCCAAACAAGGGATGTTCTACAAAACAACTGTTTTCATCTGCAAAAGTGTCAAGGCCATGAAGTCTAGACTGAGTCTGTCACTACAGAGACATATCAACTAAATGCACAGGGCCAGCGTTGCAGGTGCTCTGCGGATGAGATGGTCGCAATGTATCTGAAGGCTATATTGTAGTTAGGAAGGGCAGTTTGTAAAAATACCATTCAGAGGTGACAAGACATTAGATCAGAAACTTGGGAAAAGAACAGTCTTTTGCTGTGCTTCCACTGATTTATGTTTATAGCTATTTCAAAATTTAAAAAAAAGAAAAAAGTAAAGGAAGAAAGCAACCATTCCAAGCAATGTAACTATTTTCAAGTACAATATCAAATTTGTACAGGCTAGCTAAGGTAATCAATTCCCTGCTCCCCCCAAAAAAACACAGTGAGGTATTTTCAGTTGCTGAATATCAAAATGTTTATTCTTTTGCTTCTTACTACTGCTGAAAATCTCTTTGATAAGTGTCTCCTCTTAAAATCAGATTTGATTTCACAGAAATTTTGTCCTTTAATAATTAATTTTGAAATGTCCCATGCTGGGGGACAAGCTTGGACAACCAGGCCAGGTGGGCCACCATGAAGGCTGTCCTCCCACACTCCACCCCACACACAGAAAGCTGCAAACAACTCGGGGAACACCTGTGCAAAGCCAGCCAGGTTGTCCAAGTCAGCTGAAAACAGAACACCGTACTAGATTCAAATTACAAGTTCAGTACTGTACTGTACACATCCAGCATTACACATGCTTAAAATAATATAAGTATGCATAATGACACATCGGGTCTCACTTGCAAGCTATAAGCAGGCAGCTACAAAATGTTAAACTACAACATAATCCCAATTTACCTAACGTCACAAATGTTGTTGCATACACATTGGCTGCTTCAGAAGCCTTGGGCATGCAGACAGGAAGTAGAGAAAATATTCCAGCTAAGCATAATCACATTACGTGTATTTAAGACTCTTTCTAGCCAGATCATATTCTAAAGAAGATTATCTTGAAGGGCCAGGGCCATTTTCGAGCTGCGTGGTTTTTAGGAGAGGGAATTGTGCCCTGACACATATGTGTGCTTCACAGATACTGGAGTTATGAATGCAGGTAGACCCACTGTGATTCCCAGGGTGACATCAGCCTCTGGGAAGAAGAAAACCTAGTGGCCCCTGGCTTAGGGGAGTCTCTCAACCCTGGAATTCCACCCAGGTCTGGAGGGCTGCTCCAGGCCAATGGGGACCATTTTGACCTGTCAAGCCCAGAGGCAACACAGGTATAGTCTGACAGCAACCTACAGTTACTTCAGCTTTCAGGCTAAATGAATAATCTGCTCTACCCCAGGAGAATGCTTGCCCATTAAAAATGATTTTTTTGCAATTTTAATATGTTCTACAAAAATAACTAAACTTGTCATTAATAGCACCATAAAAACATAGATAATGGTAGAAAATAGGATATTAAAATAAAGTTGCTTTCAATTCCAGGCAAAATTTCCTACCACTAATATGAACAAAGTTAACCATTTTAACTGAATTTGAGAAAATAGCATGTCTTTCTGGAACAAAAATATTCTTGTGGGGAAAACGTAGGCAAATATATTCGTTATGAATTTTATATGCATATGTGTGTATATATGTGTGCATGGATACATAAAACCTCTGAGCAGCGAGGAAAGAATGTAAGACATAGCTCTCTATTGAGAGTGGCTGGTAGGGTGTCAAGCAGTCATGTAAAAGTATTTTTAAAAAGAAAATTGAGGACACAAGAAAGCATCTAAAGTCTTGGTAAAATGGTCAACTGGGGTTCAGCAACTGAAGGAGAGTACTGCATATGTACTAATGTAGAGTTCACATCAACATCTCAGAAATAAAACAGCTCCAGTTCTGAAGCATCTCCCTTGACTGTGATGAAAAGAAGAATTCTCATCCCTATAGAAAGAAGAGGTAGTATGATAGTGAAATGCAGACAGATGCTGGCCCTTGGTTGCTCATTTGCTTTGCAGATTCAGTGCCCCTGGCATCTTTAAAACACAGTTTTGGTGAATGTGTTTGTTTTGCTGGCTGGTGCACTGCTGGGGCAGATGTGGAGACAGGGATTCCACTCCCAGTAAGATCTATTTGTTGAGCACACAGGAGCTGGGCTTTCTCTTTTTCTCTGGTTGCAAGAAGGTGATTGTTTTGAGAGGACTCAGCAGTACCAAGGCAGTCTGTTAAAATTCCTGTTGACTGATACAGTCACTCGTCCAGACTGAACAAAACACCAGCAGAAGATGTATGTAGTTAAATCAAGTCAGACTCTCCATGGTCCAGGAAATGAGAGAATCTTGCGCTTCAAGTTGTGGAAAACTGGCCAACATGGTTCATCCCTGGGTGCCAGAGTTTCAGATTATAGGGTCACATCTGTAACAAAAATTTAGCATAAATTCTCTAAATGCTCTCCATGTGCAAGTTCCCTACAAGAAGCTTTCTCCTTTCCATTGTCTTTCATACACACGCGCACACACACACACACACACACACACACACACACACACCATGTAAACTCGTCTTTATGCTTCAAGACCCAGCACCAGTTCCCCATTCCCCAAGAAAGCTCTCAACTCCTATAACAGACATTACCTGAACTCATCCCCTTGAAACTGTCACCTCTGATTTCAGCTGGTGCTAGGATGGACAGGTCTGCAAGCACTGACTGTTCTAGCACAACACCCCACTGCATTTCTCTGTTTTTCTGCCCCCAGACTATCTCGTGAAGACTCATCCCAAGTAGAGGCACAGCTCAGGGATGAGGGAAAGCTAATGCCCCCTGCAGGCAACCCCAAATCAGTGGGGATGGAGCTAGTGGTTATCATCCTTCAGGAGAATAATTCTGGGAGGCATCTGTACACTTCTCAGAGATCCAATGATGTCAGGCCTCTTTGGCCTGGAGCTGAGACCTTGATAATAAGTCACCCTTCATTTGCTTCTCCTCATTGGCTATCTCACTCTCCCTGCCCCCTTACCCCTTCTTCCTGAGATCAGCTCCCAAATAAACTACTTGCAGCCAAGTCTTTATCTCAGGTTCTGCTTGTGGGGATCCAAACAGACAAAACACATTAAGCACAAAGATTGAGAGATCATATATTTTTTCAACAGCAAAGTAATGAAACACAAGCTGTTTGCAAGTGTCAAAGCTATGGTATTAACTCTGCAGGGAACCAAAAGAGTCAATGAACACTTTGGGCATCAATTTCTGTCACCTAAAAAAATGAGAAGGGAACCCGAAGGGCCTTTTTAGCTCCCATCCAATGCTATGATAACGCAAGCTATGTGCCCGCTTTAGAAAGTCCATAGCCACTGAGGGGTGGAAAAATAAAGTGGCTTCTGTCTCATTATATACCACACATCATTCCAACCTCAAGGGTTATAAGACATGAATTTTCCACAATGGAAGCTTCAAACTTTCTGGGTGCTCCTCAAACCTGGCAACTTTCAGTTATCTAACTCAACAGAAAAGGTCAAAGTCCTACGTTACTGAGACTTCTGAAGCCATCCAACTTCTCTAAACTTGCACACTTTTTACATCAAAATAACCAAATATCTTCATCAATTTCTCCTTCTTCCCTCTAGCAGCACCAGCATAAATCCCTCTTCTTAATCTCAGTCCAAAATTACCATACATCTGTCCAAATCTCAGTCCAAATTCCCTGGAGTACCTCGCTCAGCAACTCACATTTAACTGATATTCAATAAATGCTCATCAAATGACCGAATGAACTCTTCAACAAGAAACACTTAGGATCATCCCAACTTTTGAAATATCAATTGGAAAATTGCCTTGATACAATGTTAGCTTATGAACTTTTTGTGTGTTTAGTTTCAGTAGTGGCTTACAAACCTATTGCTTATTTGTTTTCAACATACAAGCAATATACAAGCAAGTGAAAAATCCAGATTTTCACAGAAAATACTAGAATTAGACCTTGGAGATGTTTTCCTTTCCTTTAAAATAAAATAGAAAAAAAATTAACATTCCAGGCTTACTGTGAAAAAAACTCTTCCCTACCCAAACCCCCCAAATAGAGTTATACCTGTGAGTTTAGATTTTTTGGCTGTGTTCACTGCTGCCATGAACATGTATTCACTATTAGGGTCATGCACACTGGATGAATACTTCTGAAAGAAAAAGCCAGAAACATGGTTTGTCATCTTCTTTTCCCCATCTCTTTGTTTTTTGACTGTTTTCTATTCTTCGTTGAAGTAGTATGTGACAAAAACATGAAAATATAACTTGGGTTCCTGGCTTTAGGCTAATTAGGAAAACAATATGAAAAGGGTTTTACATAAAAAGAGCTTTCTACTGAACTTTCTTCCTCATTTTTGCCTTTATTGTTCCTTTCCCTATAAACTTAGATCATGAGCCCCATCTCATTCTCTTCCTTCCTTATCTCTCTTTTCAAATTCCTGTCTGCCACAGATATACACTGGCCAACGACCACACCGTGGATACAACAGAGTACCAGCATACCCACGCAATATGCAGAATGGTGTCAGTTCTTTGACTGAGAACTTGTAATGTGAGAAACCAAAAAGAATATCCCCCAGCACAGGGAGATTTTTGTTATTATCGTTGTTGTTTATCTTTCTAAATAGCTCTTCACTGGTTTTCTTTCAAAGCAAGGAGTCTAATAACTTACCACGTCAAGAAGTTGTCTATTTCCTTCTAAGCTACAATTGACACCTTAGAAGGCTTTCTTGCTGACTGTTTTTAACTTACCAGCTAAGCAAAACTTATAACTGATTGTTTCATCTCTGCTCTGCCTCTTAGGAAGCTTAGATTCATACTTGCAGCTTACACATAACCATTTTTTAAAAATCAGAGGCATCTATTTTATGTTTTAGCCTTCCTCCTGGCCTTTAGTCTTCGCTTGGTCTCAATTTCCTCATCTAGTTTAAACAATAATAATAATAATGTAACTCTCTGTAAGCCATCAAGTCAAGTCCTCTTTGGAATGTGTGGGTTATAAAACAAATAAATAAACTTCTGTTCCAAGCGATTAATTAGTATGTCTTGAGGGGAAGGAATTATCTGCCTGTTGGTCAAACTACTCTGACAAGAGCCATGTGTACTTTTGATGAGTAAATAATCACTGATGCTCATCAGTAAAGCGGATACAAAGAAAGATAGAAATTGCTCACCTTTTTTGTAAACCAACAAATAAGTATGCATACAAAAATGCAGACTACAACAAAAGCTGCACATCCTATGGGTAACCAGAACTTCAGCTGGCAACAACGTTGTGATTCTGGATTGGAAAAAAGGTATGTTAATGAAAAATTCTGAGAATCAAATCTCCTCTTTAAATGCTGAACCACAAGTTCTCTTACCAAATTTAAAAGAGCTGTTTAATCAAATGAAACTTTTCTTTACTATAGTCATGAAATCCAGTAAGTGGGCGAGTTATTAGACTAACATCATCTCAGCATTATGGCAAGGATCCAGGAACAAAAACTTAAAAGACTATGCACATAGGTGTTTACAAATGTGGTTAATAGAAAGGTCTTTTCTGCCAATATTTTTATAAAAGAGGTAGTAGTAAAAGTAATATTATAAAACTATGATTTTCAATCATCACACTTCATTCCACAAACACAGTGTAAAACCAAACCTTAAATCTTAGATGAACAGAGATAATAGCCATTATTAAGTCATAAGTTTAAGTATTTGTCTTAATCTTTTTTTCCTGATTTTTAATGGCATATGTGTTTAAAAGGCAATAGGATCTATTTCTGACTTAGCAGTCTATGGGATTAAATTGCATATTGCTGAATAATACTAATTATTATTCATTGTAAATCATCACCTGTATATCTTCATTATAAATGATTGCCATCAATTGCATCTAAGTGAACTCCAACACAAAAGATACTTATTTGTCCAATTGTTTTTATTAGTGAGAAAGTTGTCAAAACATATGTATATACTCTTAAGTTTGGAAGATGAAAGCAATGTCTTACCATAAATATGCAAATATTCTCCCTTAAGAGTTACTTTAAAAGGAGGAGGATCAAAAATGGAGAGGCTGCAGAAGTAATAGTTGGCATGAGAACGGTCCAAGTTATATAGAAAAAAGGAGACACTGTTGTTGGATAGCTGAGGATGGCAGAATTTCTGGCTGTTAATGGACACTGTGTTACCACTTCCCTTTGTCTTAGTGAAATCGCAGAGTATTTGCTCCCCTTTCAGCAACTCTATTTTAAATTGCTGGACAATGTCAGGATATTTGCATAAAATTTGTACACCTCCATTGTGAAATGTAAACATCTCATAATCGGCAGAACCATTGATTTCTCCTGGATAAAAAGAAAGAAAACAAAGCAAAAGTGACGTTTTATAAATATGTTGCCCTAATAATTATATTTTAACATAGAAGTAATTTATTCTATGCACAAAGTCATCTCTGTTGCACCAGAATGAAACAGCTTCACTTTCTCCCTCCATCTCTCAAGAAAGAACATTAGGCACAACTACGTCCTAGAGAAAAAAAAATCATAACCAGAAATTCGCTTGTCATATGTGAATATAGAATATACTGAATATTAAATAATATATTTACATAATATGAATCAAAGAGATACGGTCCCTGTCCTTTGGAGGCAGATGGTAAAAGAATAAATATGTAGTAATGCACCATAATTTGTGATAGGAATGGAGTATTATTTGAATAAAGGTGGTAAGGTCAAGCGGGTTATAATTTTGATTATAGAATCAGAAAATGTCACCTTAAGGAAGTGACTTTTAAAATTGGAATTCAAAGATGAGTAGCACTTAGCCAAACAGAGAGATATGGGAAAAGCTGAAGTTTAGGGAAAACTTCATTTATTAGTAGGTATGTCTTGCAGGGAAGGAATTGTCTGCCTGTTGGTCAATACTCTGACAAGAGCCATGTGTATTTTTGATGAGTAAATAATCACTGATGTACATCAGTTAAGCAGATACAAGGAAAGATAGAAATTGCTCACTTTGCAAAAGTACAAAGTAGTTTAAAAATGAATAATTGTATATATATATGTGTGATTATATGTGTATTTAAATATATGTATTATACGTATTTTACAGTATATAGAGAGTACATGTGTAGATATATGCATACAATTGTATACATATACGTACATATATACACACATACATTATATCCTCCTGCTAGAGAGTAAAAGAACAGGCTAATCATTTTCAAATGATAGAAATGTATTTTCTCTGAACATCATCCACTGAGAACTGAATCAAGGCCTGAAAATAAAGATAAGCCCCAGATTTTTGTTTACTTTTTCTCTCTCTTTTTTTTCTTTTTAGAGAAAAGGTTTTACTCTGTTACCCAGGCTCCAGTGCAGTGGCATGATCATAGCTCATTGCAGCCACCACTTCCTGGGCTCAAGGGACCCTCCTGCCTCAGCTTCCCAAGAAGCTGGGAATACAGGTGCACACCACCATACCTGGCTAATTTTGAAACAGAAATTTTGTAGAGACATAGCTCACTATATTGCCCAGGCTGATCTTGAACTCCTGGCCTCAAGTAATCCTCCTGCCTCAGCCTCTTAAAGCACTGGGATTATAAATGTGAACCACCATGCCCTGCCCCACTTTTTCATTTTCTGAAGTAATTTTAAGCTTATAGGAAGCCAAGGTTGTTTTTGAAAGCTACATAGGAATCACAGAAGGAAAAAAATAAAATTGCCTTGCGCTGGTGGTTGCAGATTCTGAGTTATTAGACTATAAATTTAAACTGCTCATTGCCTTCCCTTTCTTTTTGTTTTATTTTCCTTTTTAATATAGCAAATTTTCATGCTGAAACTGTTTGGGAAAATTATTAGCATGCTGGTTTTTTTCCTAAGTTTTGAAATCTTGGTCTTTGTTTCTGAGAAAACTAAATAACAAGTGTAAAAAATGTTTAAGGAAAAAAATTACCTAGTCCTACAGTGAAATAGAAATACTATTTGTATGCTTTTGCTCTTTACCTTTCAAAAGCATACTTATTATTTGTCACAAACATGTTATTTTGTGTTCTGCTATTGTCATTTTATGTCATAAACATTTCATTTCTTACACAGTCATCGTAATTATCCTTTTTAATGACTATATTATTGGCCATAATGTTAATCTATTATAATTTGTTAAAACTAAAATACTAATGTTGGAAATTGGGGTTATTTTCAGCATTCCGCTTTTATGTAAATATTATATTTGGTCAAAATGTTTAAAAGTTATAATACTATGTATTGCCATTTTGCTTTCTGAAATTTATAGCAGGATTAGCATTATGCAGGAGGATCTATTTCTCACACCTCTGTTTACACTAGTTGCCTTAATTTTATTTAAGATTCACAATTACTTATTTTCTTAATATCCCTAAGCTTCAATCTATATTTTTCCTATAGATCTTCAATTTGGGTGATTTGATTGTGAAAATAAGCGCAAGTGTTCTAGTCTTCAGTTATAGCAGTGCCTATTATTCAAACTGATTCTCACGCCAAAACAACCAAAAATGTTGAACAAATGTCCAAAAATACAATTAAAAGCATTAAAAGAGTGACACAAAGAGGAGAAATTACCAGGTTAAATTTGAAGAGACAAGCAAAGCTTGGAACCCAAAGAGACAAGCAAAGCTTGGAAGCTGCTTTTACTCTGAAAGCATTTGCTGTTCTTTGAAATTCAAACTTTTTTGTCCCAACTGCCAGAATCTGCAGAGTGCGGGATCTAGCAGAAAACCATCTCCGCAGAAAACTGGGATCCCAAAGAGTTACATTCTTGGAGCACAGTTAAACCAGAAATAAACCAGACCTCATTCAGAGTAGATGGTTCAGAAAAATCTTCTGGGCTTCAATGGTCCAGAAGACCTCAATGCTTGAATTTTCTTTAAGATAATTTGCATTTTATTACCACTCAGCTTTTGAAAGTAAAAATGCAAACTATTACAAGAAGGAAAGGTTTACATCCCCTCCCTATGACACAGGGAGAGGAGCATCACACACTGGGGTCTGTTGGGGTAGATTACGAGGAGGGAGGGATAACATGGGAAGAAATGCCAGATATAGATGACAGCAGGGGAATGGAGGCAGCAAATCACATTGCCATGTATGTACCTATGCAACAATCCTACATGATCTGCATATGTACCCAGAACCTAAAGTGCAATAAAATATCTAAAAAAAAAAAAAAGAAGAAGAAGAAGAAAAGAAAAGGTTTACATCTTAGGCCTCAAAAAATTCCTACAAATAATATGTACATTCAGTGACAAACACATCATAAAAATGAGACCTAGAAAACAAGATAACAATAGAAACAACAAACTATAAAAACAAACCCACAATTTATATATTTGAATTATCAGGTCCACAAAACAAAATAATTAAACTTATAAGCAAATAAAAGAAAAATTTGTAATAATATCTGCAGTACAGAGGAAAATTTAAGTCAACTAATTTGAAAAAGAACCAACAAGAATTGGCACCAAAAAAAAAAAAATGCACTAACTGAAGTTTAAAACTCAATTGATAGCTTTAATATATATTAGACAGAGCTAAAGAGAAAATTGGTGAACCAGTAGATAGGTTGGAAAAATTAGTTAGAACCCAGTCACACTCCACAGATTCAAGAATCCCAACAATTCACAAGCAGATTTTTTAAGTGTGTACATCTAGACATATCTTAGTGAAAATCCTAAAAGCAGCCAGAAATAAGAGACTGATTACCTTCTAAGAAGCAACTACTAGACTGTTTCAACATCAACAATAAAAACCCTGATACAGTGGAATTATAGCTTATATCTCCAATGTACTTTAAAAAAAATCTGTCAATATAGAGCACATTGTCTAGAAAGACAGTGAAGGTATACGTAATTTGAAACTTTTCTAAGTGAAGTATACATGTTGAGATTTCAAAATAGAAATAATATAATCTGAATTAGTGTCACAAAATTCAGCCTAATAGTTTTCTCCGAAGAGGGAGAAAGAATTGGAATCGGGAAGGAACAGGGGTGCTGACAATCTTGTATTTCTTGACCTGTGGTGATTATGAGGGTGAGGTAGTATGCTTTAGTATTATTCATTAAATTTTACATTTATGTTTTTTTCACTTTTCTGTATGGATGTTTTATTTTATAATAACAAATATTTTTAAATTATACAGAAGGAAAATACTACTTGCTTCATTTTAAAAACTAGAGGGAACAATGTAAACAAAAGGCAAAGGAAAAAAAACTGTTGGCATGAGAACAGATGCAGTCTACATTAGATTAAAACGTAGGGTATTTTGCTTAGGGCCTTTACGTTGCCCCACTGTTGCTTCGATGCTTATGTCTCTACCATCTGCTACAGAAGATAAAATCAGTGGATTGGTTCTCGGTTACTTTAGAAATGTTCACAACAAATTTCCCAGAGACTGTAGAATGGCAGCAAGTAAACCACAAAGATCTTGGAGCAAAAGTGTCTGTGGCCACCATGTATACACAGACATAGATGCATTGTCTTGTACTTCCGAAGATGATTTTGTCAGCAGGGTTTTCCCCCATTGTGCCCACACTGTGGCAAACACAAGAGGACATTAATGGTTGGCAGTGCAGTGTGGTGGAAGTGCATTGCAGTGGCTCCCCAGGAGACCAGAGACAAATTCTGGCTCTACCACTTGCAAGGCTCTGTGGCTAGGGTACTCCCACGGAATTCAGTCTCCTCATCTGTGAAATAAGGAAGTAATACAAAAACATCTTAACGTTCTTTCTAACACTTGCTTTCTCTGAAATCAGGATCAGAATATATCCAGATAAAACTATAAACAACTGAGAGAGCTAATTCTTTGCTATTGGGTGGGTCCTCCAAAGGGAATACAATGTTCCTGTTAACCACTTTCTGTCTCAATATCATAATGAGCTATTCCAGAAATTCAGAATAAATTAAAATGAAGGATACTGTCTTTCTTGCCCACAAAAGTATGTACATAGGGCTAGGAATGCTGTGCCTCAATTTTTCTTGAATGTCACATTGAGAGTGTATACCACTGACATCAGCTGAAGATTTCAAAGTGTCATTTCTATTGGAAACTCTTTTTTTTTTTTTTTTTTTGAGATGGAGTCTTGCTCTGTTGCCAGGGTGGAGCACAATGGCACGATCTCAGTTCAACCTCCACCTCCCAGATTCAAGCTATTCTCCTACCTCAGCCTCCCAAGTAGCTGGGACTACAGGCGTGCACCACCATGCCAACCTAATTTTTGTATTTTTAGTAGAGACAGGCTTTCATCTTGTTGGCCAGGATGGTCTCGATCTCTTGACCTCATGATCTGCCCACCTCAGCCTCCCAGAGT